GTCATAAGAGAATTTCTTTGCTCGATCTTCATGTATCTCTTCATTCTTTTTCCAGTGTTCAGCATAATTTTTCAATTTAATGATACATGTTGTCCATTCTTCTGGGGTATTTCCTAGACCAACATTTTTAAAGGCTTGACTGATTTTTTGAAAATTATTAAGTATGGCTTCAACCTCTGTGCTTAATTTCTTGTTTTCATTCTTCCAAAAATGTGTTTGAGCTTCATAAAAACTTTATTCCCTCTGAATGCTTCTATTGATACTCTTAGCATATAATGCTTTTGGTACTAATCTAACAGGATCTTTATGTGAATACATTTCCATCATTTTAAGAGCTTCCTCAAGATAACCTTCTTCGGTTGCGTCATAATTCACTTGATCATGAAACTCTTTGTCCATAATGAAAACCTTTGATTTTGATGACCACTCTTAAATCAACACTCTTGATTATGCCATAATTATGCAATGTAAGCAGAAGAAATTAATACAAAAATGCATTTATAGAATAGACCAAGAAAAATGGTTAGTACCATTTAATGGAAAGGAAAGATTTTATCCATCATGGTATCTATATATACATCATAACCTCATGCTTTCTAGTTTCATGCTTTGTTTGGAAAATGAACCTAACCGCATGATTTCTAGTTCGTATGCATTTATTTAGGAAATAAAGCAATACTAAGTAAATTAAAAAAAAATCAACATGTTTTTCCTTGTGTGCTAACCTTACGAGACTTATTTGGGTTAGGATCTGACTAGATTCAAGTTCTAGGTTTACTATATGCTGAGTTCAGGCTCTAAGGTAAAAAGGGTCAACTAATTGTCCTTTGTTGGTGCCCCATTGGACTGTCAAGCCCTCAATCCTGGTCTATTACAGACTTTTGGATCAAGTTCAATTCGAAGGAACACACTTCCTTATGTCCATACGGAGGTGAAAACCACACGGGGAACATAAGGTGTGAGCTCAAGGAATGGTCACCTATCTCATACGGAGGTGAAAACCACATGAGGGAGTAGTTTCTCATTCAAGCTAAATGGTATAAGAGTGGGGTTTTAGCTCATGTCATGAATGTAGTGCACAATGGGTGAGGAAAAACATAAAAAGAATAAAATAATGTATACCCTACTATTCTATTCTAAAGACCCATAATTAAATATGTAAACATAAAAAATAAGTTAGTATGACTATTAAAATAATTAAAGGGTTTAAACAAATTTATAATTTTATTGCAAAAATAATTAATTAATAAACTGGTGGCTTGACTCTCTAAAAAAAGGTCCCCAGCAGAGTCGCCAAGCTGTCGAGACGTTTATTGCTCGGTGACCAAAAAAAAATGTGTACACATATAGTGTAACTGTCTCGAAAAAGTAAGTGTTTATCTTCTAGCATAAGATAGAACACTAATTTGTAGAGTCGCCACCAATCATTTGATGAGGTGTGATTGGTCACCAAAATGTTATGATATTTTAATAAAATTCATGAGAATAATATTAAAATAACACAACAAGGGTCTGCTTACCAGAGAATGAGTTCGGGAGTCGGTTACGTGTAGGGAATGATTAGCATCCCCACAACACCCAAAATTGGTACCATTATTTATTAGATGATTGTCTTTGCAATAAATTAATAAATTAGTATTTAATTTTAAATTTATGATCTCATAAAAAACATTTGGAATATTATTTTATACCAATAATAATTTAAAAATATATTCCTAATAAGTTAAGGAAATATTTTAATGACTTATTGTATAAAATAAAATTACCATATTACATATAATAATTTTAATGATTAAAATATCAAAATTCTAGGTCACTACTACAGATATTACATATTTTAGGTACTAAAAGTGTAAATAAACTAATAGTATTAAAAATTAAAGATATCAAAATATGGTGGTTAAATTGTAAAATAATAAAATAGTAGACCTAATTCGAAATATTACAAAATCTATGTGCTATTAATGTAATTTTACTAAAAATATATATATAACGATTAAAATATAAAATACTAAAATAATAGACTAAATATATTATTTTCCATAAATATATGTAAATAGACAAGCAAAGACTAAAATAAAAATAAATAAAATGCAAAACCCAAATTAAAAATACATAAAACCTGATTTCATGACCAAAATTGAAGGATTACAAAGCCAGAGGGACCACATGTGTAATTTACACATTACCAAAATTATAAAACAACCCCTCCCCAAAACGACGTCGTTCGGGGAGGGTATTTAAACCTCAAAACCGGCCCAAAGAGGGTCAAGATTCTCATTTCTCTCTTTGGCTTCTCTCTCTTAGAGAGAAAAACTCATTCTTCTCTCTAGATTTCCCTCGCCGGAGGGAATCCGACCACCAGTCGGCCACCATGCTCTGTCGCTGACAGCCGCCGTCGGCCACCACCCACGGTGGCTGAAAATACCAAAATACACTAAAATCTTTTTCGGTTTTCCCTCAACCTAGATCTGGTCTCCTTTTTTCCTAAAACCCAACCAAACTTCGTAGATATAACCATTTACCTTCGGTGTTTTGTCTTCTCCGGTGGCGCATGGGAGCTCTGACAACCGTGGTAAGCCTTCTATCATTCGTTTTGTTTCTCGGTTGGTTGTTGGTTATTGTATATGGATGCTTGTTGTTTTTTGTCTCTCTTGCTCTCTGTATGTTGGTTGTTTGTAGAATCGGGGTTTATATGCCCCCTGGAAATCGACCAAAATGATGAACCCTATCGGTGAGTCACCGAACCTACAGTGGTGACTCACCATAAGTCGATGTGTTGTGCGATCCTCCTTCATCTTCTAGAGTCTTCTGGTGAGTTCTGGTAAGGCGTGGCAGTGATCGGTTGGTGCAACTGGAGGCGGCGGCCAGAATAGGCCCTAGGGTGTAATGAAACCCTAGGGTTTCTGCTGGACAAATTTGGACCCTTAATCTTCGTCTGGATCAGATGGCTGAGAGCTGCAGGCAGCGCTTGGAGAAGATGATGAAACACTAGTTGATTTGGACCTTCTCGGGCCGTTTGGGTTGTTGGGCTTGAACTGGGTTGTGGACTGGGTCTGGTTGTAACTAGGCCTCTGAACCTTGCTTTGTAATTGGGCCTTCGGGTCTTATAATAATTTAATAATAATAACAATAATAATAATATATAATATATTATATAGAAACGATACTCGGACGAAAAAGACTGTGGACATTATGCATATTTTAGGAACTAGTAGTAGAAATTGAACTAGATTGAAGTTTTAAAATTTGAGAAGACTAGGAACTAAAAATGATCAAATTATAAATTCAAGGACTAGATCCATTATTTTGGATAATTTATGGACTAATAAAAGAATTTGACCAAAGACAAAATGTGTAGCTTCCATACCCATCGTATTGGCAAATTACATAGATATATATACTCAAACAAGTTAAAAACATCATTTAAACAATTTTCTTAATTCAACTTGTAAAGTAGGATTAGAAAATCCATCATTTCCTTGACCCCCTTTAATAACCTCCCGGCTTTGCCATAAATTGAGATCCTAACAAAAGCTTCAGAATGGATCCATCTGTCATAAGAGAAAAATAAGGATGAAGGGGACATCTTGATTCACAGGAACATGGAAATACACTTGCCTAAATAGAAAAATGAGGAGGTTTGCATGTGGCAGTTTTTATACAATATGATGAAATTAGTTACACCCAAAATGAATATCAAGCAGCTCTTCAAAGTCTTTCTGACTTTGGGTTTACTCATTTCAGGACTGAATTATTTCTCTTTAAAGAAGGGGCTCTGCTGTAATGCTACGATGGTTAAAAGATAACGAAGAACCATTTGCAAACATGCCATAAATGGATGGAAATTTGGCAACTCATACACATCCTGCAGAAACCCAAATTCTTAGAAAAATAGCATTCCCTTTTACCACCGAAACTCTCAAGGGATTCTTAATCCTTTAATATTATATATCACAGGTTCCTGGAAAATATGGCTAGTGCATTGAATGAATATGATTGAAGAATTATAAATAAATTTGGAAACTCAGCTACCTAAAAGCGTTGACTATAGCAATTGGGTGCCTATCATCTTTATCAGTATACACAACATAGAATTAACTTTGTTTCCATGTTCAGACTCAGAGAATGGAAAACCCAGAAAGCTGCTGCTCTCTGCTAATGGCAATCATGTTTGGTCTTTCTTCATCTGTTCAGTTAAATGACCCTGGTACTATACCTTCCTGATTATTGTTTTTCTGTTTAATAATATTGGTTTTTTGTATTAACGGCTGATAATATCTTCCCTTTTTGCTCGCTAATATTGATCGTCATAGATTGGTACTTCTGGTTTCCCCTCTCAGTGTGTGCTTGTATTGTTAATCTGCTAAATTGGAGGATCTCCGCAAAAGGATCAATCAAACATATTGCTAAAGTAGAACTGTTCTTGGACTGTTGTTGTTTATTAAGGTTTTGGTTGAAGATTTTGTAAGTAAGATAGCTGGATTCTGTTCATTAGATTTGACCGAGAGAGTTGCTGGGGAGAAAACTGGAAGTTTGCTGGTTATCATCTCCATGATTCTGCATTTGATATCTTTATCAGGACCAATGGATCACAAGCTAAGAAAGTAGAGGAAAGTTGGGAAAGCTGTTGCATATGGTGAGACAGCAGAACCAGTTTTATTTCTATTTGCATTCCTTTATGAACATCAACTTTCAGGGTTGAATATTTGAAATGAAATGAAAATCTGAGGCTAAGACCGACAGAGTTTTAACCATATACATAACAATACACTACAGTCATTTTAGGACCTTGAATTTTGCTAATGAAAATCTCAAACTTCTGTGACAATAGAAGCTTAATGGTTGATGTTTCTGTTTCTGGTGAAATTTTGGTTAAGACCCACTTGAGGAGACTGAAGTTTGGACATGTCAGTAATGATATAACTCGTGGACATGTCATTTTCAACCAATGAGTATCAGGTGTTACACAATTACACCTACATTTGAAAATTTCTTACTACTTTTCCAACTGAATATATGCCAAGGCACGATAAGAATGCTCAAACTTTATACAATGGAAAGCAAACTACAGAGAATGTCACATAGAAGGCCCAGGCACCTCATGCATCACAAAAGCTGTCTAACATTCCTGGTCTAAGCTATCAAACCTAAGAACTCCAACGGGAACCAAAAGGAAGGAAATTTTCGACAGCAAACTCCACTAGAAAGTGGACTACGCTACTAAAGAAAGAAGAATTGAGGGACAGGGAAGAGTTTAAAAAAGAGATCCACCAAATACACTGCTTTCTTCCATTCCGTTTGAAAGAACTACCATAGGTACAATCTGGCTTGGTCGAAAATTCCATGCAGCAAGTTGCATGTTCACATATGGACACTGCAGAACTCCATTTCCACTGATAAATTTAGCAGTTTACAGTTGCCCTTGGGTAAGAACCACCGGCTAAAAATGTAGAACTTTTAGCAACAGTGCCAGATTTGGTCCCATGATTGGTTTGACGGGAGGTAAAGCTCCTATGTTAGAGTTCAGTATCCTCATTAGTGAAGTTGAAAAGCAATATCTTAGATGTCATAGAGATCCCACAGTGTTCACTGAGGATTCAGTAAAGGCGGCCCCGACATGTAGAAGCTCCATATTGACATGGATATCCTTGTCCCGGCAGCAGTTCATATCGATAGTCAAAAGTCAGCTCTTCGCCTATAGATATCTGCAAAATTGTGATGCAAGAATGGCAACATGAATACATTTATAATACTAAAACAATAAATACTTTTTAAGTTTTTTTTCTTTGAAAAGTAATGGTAAAACTAATCCAAGTTTAAAATTATGACTATTATTGAAAGAGAGAACTACTACATCTTGATAGGAGATAAGAAGTCAAAGAGACGCCTATTTTAAACCTTTATTTACCAAACTAAGCTTTTCTTTGACAAGTCACTCAAACTTGGCCATCTAAACCACACCATAATCTACACGCCATTTTCAACATAGATCATCCTGGACTTTACAGATGCCACAGATTTGTGCACTACATTTTTGAGAAACACTCTTACATCTTGACTAGCAAAGAGACCAATGTGAGCTTGATTACAATCCATGCTGTCCACAAGAACTTGATGATTCACAAGATTTGGTGAGCACCTGAGAAGAAATAAAAAGACAGAAAGACAAAGTTATCAAGAGTGCACAAACAGAAATTCAGGAGTTCAAAAGTAGAGGTATGGTATTCATTATTCAAATACAGCAAAGATGAATTGGTAATTCTGCCAAAAAAAAGTCATAAATGCTCCCATTATTCATAATCAGAAAATGGTACGCACATTTAGAATCTATGGATACTCAGTCGCAAAATTGGTTGTGGCCAAATTACAACTTGGAAGTACAGATACCAGAATCAAGAGTAGAAGAAAACATTTCAGTATGTGATAGCTGATGCATGCAAGAGTATCCTCACCTATGATTGATGAACCTGGAAACATTTCCATATTTGGACGCATCAATAACATATCCTGCTTGTCCTTCAATCCATCGGCTCATATCATTGATGTGAGAATCAACGTTAAGCAAGTAGTTGCAACTGTCTCTATCATACCTGATATTAGATCATACAGCCTAGTAAGCATATAAGCATAAAAGCAAGCATAAGGTGAGCAGATCTCTAAAAATCAAAGAGAAACCTGGTAAGCCTATTGTTTGCCTCTTTCTCGCTTAAGATCTCCCCAATGTACTCACAGACAAATGTGCCACTCAGAATTGGTTCAACAGCCCTGACTCCCCATCCCTGAAGATCAACATGAAGCAATGTCAATGGACACAACTCTATAATACAACAAAGCTCAAATCATTACCTTATTCTCTGTTTTGAAGACTTCCAGTTTTGCTTGTACTCCTTTTTGCAAAACCCTATTTGGGCATGCTCTACTGCAGCTACACTTGTGGTTGCATTCATAGACAAGGTAGCCCTCCTGCAAAGTTTTTAACAAAGGTTCAATCTCAAGAGATAAACCACAGAATCAAGAGGAGCAGGAAGGAGGATGCCAGCCAGGCCACGTAGCAGTATCTGCTAGTGAAAAGGGGCTTGTAATTCTATAATGTTCTGAATGGTGAAGGTGAAGCTATGTAATTCTAAAAGGAAATAAAAAATCCTAACGGATGCTTATGGGTGTCATATGAAGTCAATAATGCACTCTTTGACAAGATAACAACACATTCTCTTTTACATGTGATTTTGAGAAACAACATAAGTATGACTGTAAATGAGACGAGACGAATTGCGAACTACTTGAGTTCAACTCGATCAAAGCTCGGTCAAAACTCGAACTGGATGGAATCAACTTGACTCAAGTTCTTAACGAGCCTAAACAAGCTACTTGATACTCGACTCGAAAAGCGCGCGAGCAACTAGAAAAAATGATATATTAAAATTTTAATTTTTTTAAAATTAAATTATTAATAATATTAGCATTTATATGTTTTTTCTTTAAAAAATACAATAAGGCTTTTATGTACTTAAGGTTCAAGTTCGAATCGAGTTTGAGCTATAATCAGGTTAAGTCTGAGAATGTTTCGAGTTCAAGCTTTTTTGAGCTTGAGTCGATCTTCAATGTTTTATTATGAGTCGAGCTTGAAAATTTTAAGCTCACGAGCTTTCAAGTCAAATTGAGCTTCAATCTTTTATTTTGATTTCGAGTTCAAGTCAAGCTTGACAATTTTGAGCTTTAAATTTTTCGAGTCAATTCGAGGTCAACTTGGCTCCTTCACAGCCCTAACCATAAGCAAGCAACAAGAAGACATGACACTTTAGTGAAAATTAATATTGGTTGACAGAAAATAATTTTAGTACCTCCAAGATAATTCGACCTTTGTCATCATAAGGAAATCTGCCACGCATGGGTTTCCCATATATGTCTCTTGCATCTTCATAATCATTATCGAAGAGATACACATGATCACATGTCTCAGGACAGCATGTTGAATTGGAACAAGTGCACCCAAGTTGCAAACTCTGAAAAGATATGTAAATAATCAGAAGGAAAATGATAAAAATACAACACAAGTATGAGTTAAACTGATCCAAGAATTGTACAAATACATTCCATCATGTGCGAGATGGCAAGCCATATGAAACAAGGATGATTGTGACATGCAATCGAAGTAGACTCCAGTGAGGTATAATTGTAAGGCATATATATGAAGGAGCAATATAGAAAAGCAAATACAAAGGTTACCTCAACATCAAGATCAAGGGACTGATCAAACAAAGATTTCGTAACATAAATAAAGTTCTCCCAAGGCATGGAGGATTTAGCATTTTGACCTTTTGAACTGTCCCCAGAGATGTAAAGGGAATCCAAAAGACCTTCCTCCACTACACAAGCTACTGGAACTGATTCTTTTCCAAAGCTTAAATCATCACACAAGACACTGGCCTTCTGCATGGGACACTGTTTAAAATTTTGTGAACCAATGATATTGTGACACTCATCCATTTCCAATTCTTCGTCTACATTATCCAGGGAATCTGCTGACAGGCGACCTCCAAAACCATTAGGTAGAGGAACTGATGGGGACAGAACCTCTGGGTCCTTGACAGACTTACATCCATTTATGCATGTAAATTCCTCTTGGTGCCACTCGACGTGAATGTTATGCTCACTGCAAAGCTTAGCTGCCTTAAGGTACACACGTTCTGGTAACATGCCATACTTCTCCTCCAATGAGGCCTTGAGGCTCACTTTGCAACAAGAAGAGCGAGCAATAGACAGAATGTCTAAGTTATTAGGTCGCGGTTTTGCTTTATGAATATTGGAGAATAATTTCTGAAAGGGCTGAGCATTGTGGTTCTGCTAATCTACCAAGATTTGATGTCTCTGTTACATGAGGCTCTGAACTAATGATGTCAGGGTCAATCAACTTTGACGCCTGGAGGCGTTTTTTCATATGTGCAGTTGCCCTATTCCTGATCCTATATGACACTGCTCCCAGACCTTTCTTAAATCTAGGATGGCTTAGTCTCCCAGATTTTAGTTTATAAGCATAATAACGAACCCCTCTCTTTGGAAGACGAGAGCTAGATAAACTTGGTCCCATGTGAGCAGCCTGGTGGCGGCGGCCAAGATCAGGCAGCAAATCAAATTTCATGCCACAAAACCTGCAAATAAACTTTTGAAAACTGCCTACATTCTTTGAATTATTCTCCGAAGAAGCTGAATTAACGAGCTCAACTTTCAGCGGTGATTCCTCACCTGCTGATAGAATATGCTGTTGAGCAGTCTTTGACTGTCTAAAACCAACAGGATGAGCTGACAGCACATGCGGCCATAATTCCTCAGTATTGCCAAAATGGCTGCCACAGGAAATGCATCGGAGAAGCATGCACTGTTCAACAAATTGCACATGGTGTCTTTCCTGGACATGGGATTCTAAAACCTCCGTGTTAGTAAATGAATCCAGGCAGATTGCACAAGCATAACCTCTAAACAACCTTTGTCCTTCCTTTTTATGGTTCACCATCCAGTGGGTTCCGAGCTGCTGGTCATCAAGAAATTCCACTGAGCACATTTTGCACTTAATAGTCTTGTCATCTTCAAAACCGTCATTGATGGACAATGGCAAGGGAACAAGTTCTTCCACAAAAGAGGACGAAGGTGTACATTTGTTGTCAGTGAAGCCCCATAAACTTTGGAGTCTCTCCTTTTCACTGTAAACCAACTTCATTAAAAATTCCCCAACACTAAAATCTTTTGAAGCTTCAGAAAGGGCCCACTGAAGTTGGAGTTTCACAGGAACTGGGTTTCTTAGAGATAAAATACTTCTGAAGAGCTTGTAGAAAAGTTCGCATGCTTGATGTAAATGCAATTTCTGCTCAAGTGAATAGCAGTCCTTCAAAAGATCTACAAACACTTCTCTGGATACTATCCTACTCTTACCATTTCTTGCACGCTTGAGCCAGCTTGGAAGGTGTTTATCACAGTATAATGAATGCCTCTTAGGACTTTCATGACAAGGATCAAAACCACTATGAGAGTATAAGCCTATGCAATGCAGCAATTCTGTGCCATTATGATCTTTACCAGAATGTTCCGGCTTCTCGATTAAACTATTTTTTCTCTGCGCGACATCAGGCTCAATTATTGACACTGGCTCTGTAACAACCCGGAAAAATTTAGAATAATATTAAATTGAAATTGGAGGTTAATTGTGAAAATTAGTAAATTATGAGGACTAAATTGAAAGTTTTGAAAATTTAAAGTCCATTTTAGAAGTTGAAAAAAATTCAATGACCAAACCCTGAGTTATACCTTTGAGTGTCGGCAGGTTTTTCTTTTAAAGGAAATGAATTGGTTTCTGCGTGAAAACACAGAAAACCAATTCAGAAATTCCCTTTCCCCTACACCAGTTTCCAACCTCGATTCCGACGCCGTCCAAATTCTGATCGTCGTTTTGAAACCACCGTTGTGTTCATCATCGGGCGAGGAACAAACCCTTCAAATTAATTGAAGCGAAACGCTGCCAAACGTCAGGAATTTCCAGTCAAAGTCTCGACGTTTTATTTAGCTCGATCGCCGGGAAAATCTCAAATTCATCGCCGATCGTTGCTCCGTTTACGACACCTCCTGCACCATCGTGTTCCTTGTGCCGTTTCGAGTCCGCCGGTGTCAACCTTGGTCTCCGTCAACGGCGGCGCGTGAGCAGGTGGAGCAGTCAAAGTTTCGGCCAATTAAAAATTGAGCACTCCGCCGTTCAAAAATTGGAACCGATCGTTGTAAGTATCTCGAAATCGCTCAAAATAATTTGTAGAAAATTTTCCGTGATTTTTAGAGCCCCGGAGGACGTATCACGCGCCACACGCGCCGCCGCAGGGAGAGTGAGCAACTGGAAAACCGGTTTGACCGGTCTGAACCGGTCTGACCCGACCCGACCGACCCGACCCGACCGTTGACCGTTGACTTTCTTTGACCAGAACCTTAAATGGCTTTGACCGACCCTTAAACGACCATAAATATTTTCCGAGTATATATATTCTGATAGTTTTCGACGTCCCGAATCCGTTTCCGAAGTCCGTTTCACCAAATTTGAACCCGAAGGCCTCCAAATCGACAGTCAAAGTGGTTGACTTTGACTTTGACCAAGAATTTAAATTTTCAAAAAGACATACTTTATGTTTTTCGACGTCTTGATTCCGATTCCACAATCCGTTTGGCCAAATTCAAACCTGAAATCCTCCAAATTGATAGTCAAACCCTGAAAATGCTTATATATTTAAGAATTTAGCTTTGAACAATTAAGTAAGATTTGGGGCTGATAAATTATTATTGTTTGAAGGTACAAGAGACTCTCTGGATCGTTCGATAGCTCAACCCAGCTCTTCTAGATCAATTAAACCACGTGTACCAGTATTCACACGTAAGACCCGTAAATTTTAGGATTTTAGAGGTTTATTTATTTTACCCAAAAGTAATATAGTGTTATTATAAAATAGGTTCGAAAACTGTAGCAGAGCGTGGTGAAACCAGCAATCAGTAGATCTACTATTTAAACATATTATCGAGGTGTGTTCCCTAATTATTACTGAACTGTTTTATTGGTTTTAATATGAGGCACACTGAGTTCTTTGGTTACTGTTTTATTGATGCACCAATTTAATGTGATGATTTATGGAATTTGTGTCACGGTGCAATTGAACTTTTGGATTGAATTACAATAGTATAGCTCTGATCAAGCTAATAAACAGAATGGGCCTAATGTGACTCTTGGGGCCCCAAGATACATTAGTTTGGCTTCCCTTGCTGTGTGCTTAGGGTAAGCTATATGGACTTGGACTTACGGGCTTAAGGATATAAGCTCTAAAGCATATCCTTAGGTTGGCTTTCTTTTTGCTGTGTGCTTAGAGTAAGCTATATGGAAAATAGTTTTGGAAATTACTGATGGTGTACAAGAAAAGAGTTTAAACTATGATTTTCAAAAGTTAAACTCTTTTATGAATTTATGAGATTTACTGGACTATGATTTTTTTTTAATGTACCTATTGTGATTTTAAGGTAATATTGGGACACACTGAGCCTAGCTCACCTTTCGAAAATGTTTTTCCGCCTTTCAGATACTGTTGGTTAGATACATCGGTTCGAGCACTTGGAGGATCAACATATCTCTTGAAGTATATCTGATTGTAATGTTTTATCTTGCTAGTTGACTTTATTTTGGTGACATGGGCCTTATTTTAAAGTATCGTATTTTAGGATGATGACACTTTTGCTATTACTGTTCGGTTTATTGTGATTTTGATTTTGAAGACCTGTTTTAAATTAATTTATTACTTATTGGTATTATATTTAGAAGTTGGGTTTTGATGGTATAATTTATTTCATGACATTTATAATGTGATTTTACATTGATTGAATAACGGTTTCAGAAAATATCTTTAAGAATCATAATGTGATCCACTAGACTTATTCGAAACGCATAGACCGGGTCTAGGGGGTTACATACATTGGTATCAGAGCTTTTGATTTTTAAACCGCAGACTGTGTATGAGTCCACATTGAAAATACGGTTTTAGAATTATTTTACAAAATAAGTTACTAAGGCCATGTCACAAGTTATTAAGATTTTAACTGTGTTCGAGACTCCAAGTGTTTGTCTAACCCTAAGTTTTATCTCCTGTAGTAAACTCGAGATCCGCTAAAAAAATGAGTGCTAGACGTGGTCGTCGAACTAGCCGTGGACGAGGTCGAGTGGCTAGATTTGTAGACCCGATCGATGAGATACGAGTAGATCCCCCACCTCTGATAGGTGATCATGCTCCTACGACCCCAATGAATCTGCCTCCTGCCGTTGGTATTGGCATGACTACATCGATCATATGAGCGACCGATATTGAGTCAGAGTCTACCGGAGTTGCTTTGGATGAGAATTTTGGTAGATAATTTCTGCAGTTGATACAGGGAGCAGTCAGAGCTACTGGTGTTGTATCAGAGGTTCCTATTTCGCAGACTTTGATTGCCAATGGAGTTAGAACTTTTGAGGGACAGATTGGTGGAGCTCCTACTGAAGCTGAGGATTGGCTCCAGGATACAGAGAGACGCATAGATCAGTTGGGTTTAGACTCAACTAAGAGATATCAGGGTGCTGTGGCGATGTTAGATGGCAATGCCTACACTTGGTGGGAGTCAGTGACTAGTAGTGTTCCTACCGATCGTTTAACCTGGAATTTCTTTAAGGATCGCTTTCGGAGTCATTTTCTGGGAGAGCGCTACTTAGCTCAGAGACGTCAGTAGTTTCAAGACCTGGTTCAGGGAGACATGACTGTTTCTGAGTATGAGATCGAGTTCTTGAAGTTGCTGAAGTATGGATTCAGTATGGTACCTACTGAGAGAGATCGATGTCGTAAATTTGCCCTTGGACTCAGATACGAGCTGCGTAGGCAAGTTGTAACCCATCAGGATGAGATATTTGATGTGCTGGTGGGCAGAGCCAAAGATGCTGAAGAGGTAGAGGTTTTAGCTTCTGGTAGAGAGCGTGTTGAACATGAACGATCTAAGAAATTTTCAGGAACGATGGAGTCATCAGCATAGTCTGGAAAAAGGACTCGTACTTCAGTCCCTTAGAGAAGTAATACACGTTTCAGGCCTGCAGCATCCTCACCGTTAGTTGGCAGTCGAGGCGATTCTTCGTCGTATTATCATGGGTTCCTCTGTGAGTTTTGTGGTAAACAACACACAGGAGAGTGTCGTAAGAAGATGGGTCTTTGCTATCACTGTGGATCTAGTGGTCATTTTCGGAGGGATTGTCCTCTGCTAGCTTCGTTTGAGCAGACCGCTACCCAGACTCCTGTACGTTCTCAGACTACAGTACAAACCCCAATTAGAGATCGTAGTCAAGGAAAGACTCGAGGATCAGCATCCAGGACAGACAGTAGAGCCCGACCTCAGCAAAATAGAGGGCCAACAGTTTCTGAGGCTAGACAACCAGCTTTGGTTTATGCCACTAGACGTCGGGATGACAGAGATGAGCCTGAGGTTATTACAGGTACATTTACTATATATTCCATTCCATACTTTGCATTACTGGACAATGGCTCCACTCACTCCTATGTATCGAGCTCGGTATCTCGAAACCTTCATATTCCGATCGAGAACACTGAAAATAATGTTACAGTTACGAGTCCAGTAGGACAGGCGATATTAGTGAATAAAGTATTTCGGTGTTGTCCTCTGGAGGTTAAGGGAGAAATTTTTCTCGCTGATCTTATGGAGCTTCCTTTAGAGGAGTTTGATCTAATTCTTGGGATGGATTGGTTGACTAAACACAAGGTAAATCTGGATTGCGAGTACAAGAGAGCTACTCTGAAAACTTCTGATGGTCGGACTGTTGTGTTAATTGGTGAACGTCGCGGCTATCTCTCCAATATAGTTTCAGCGATGGAAATTGATCGTATGATCCGGAAGGGATATGAGACTTTCATTGCTTGTATTTTGAACACCAAAGGTGCATTGTCCACGATCGAGGAGATTCGTACAGTTAGCGAGTTTCCTGATGTTTTTCCGGAGGAGTTGCCTGGGTTACCTCCTGATAGAGAGGTAGAGTTCGAGATTGAGACTTATCCGGGATCTGCACCTATTTCTATGGCACCTTATCGCATGGCTCCAAAAGAACTTAAGGAGTTGAAGGTCCAATTGCAAGAATTATTCGATCGAGGATTTATCCGACATAGTACTTCACCCTGGGGAGCTCCAGTTCTGTTCGTGAAAAAGAAGGATGGGTCGCTAAGATTATGTATTGACTATCGGAAATTGAACAAGATGACGGTCAAGAATAAATATCCACTACCCAGGATTGATTACTTATTTGATCAATTGCGAGGAGCTATTGTATTCTCTAAGATTGATATTCGTTCGGGGTATTATTAATTGAAAGTTAAAGGATCTGATGTTGCAAACACAGCCATTCGTACTAGATATGGTCATTATGAATTCTTAGTGATGCCTTTTGGTTTGACGAACGCTCCTACAGCTTTCATGGATTTGATGAATCGGGTGTTCCAACCATATTTGGATCAATTTGTGGTGGTCTTCATTGATGATATTCTGATCTATTCTTGTACTGAGGCAGAGCATGACGAGCATTTGAAGATCGTTCTGCGAACTTTGAGAGAGCATCGTCTTTATGCCAAACTAAGCAAGTGTGAGTTTTGGCTTCAATAAGTGTCGTTTCTGGGGCATATTATTTCAGGGCGAGGTATTCAGGTCGATCCAAGCAAGATTGAAGCTATTGTGAATTGGAAACGACCCAAGAATATCTCTGAGATTCGCAGTTTCTTGGGCTTGGCTGGTTATTATCGACGTTTTGTTGAGGGCTTTTCGATCATTGCTTCTCCTTTGACAAAGTTGTTAAGGAAGAATGTGTCGTTTGACTGGGGTGAGGCACAACATGAGAGCTTTGAAAAATTAAAGGCGGTATTGACTCAAGCACCAATATTGATTCAGCCAGAGTCTGGGAAGGATTTTACAGTGTATAATGATGCGTCACACTCAGGACTCGGCTGTGTTCTAATGCAGGAAAGTAAGGTGGTGGCTTATGCATCCCGTCAGCTGCGACCGTATGAGTGTAATTATCCTACTCATGATTTGGAGTTGGCAGCAGTAATTTTTTCCTTGAATATTTGGAGACACTATCTTTATAGAGAGAAGTGTTACATTTTCACGGATCATAAGAGCTTAAAGTATCTTCTGACCCAGAATGAGCTTAATTTGAGACAACGACGCTGGTTAGAGCTTTTAAAGGATTATGATTGCGTGATTGATTATCACCCTGGTAAAGCTAACATTGTAGCGGATGCTTTGAGTCGAAAGGCGGTAACAGAGTTGAGATCTTTAATGGCCAGGATGAATCTATATGACGATGTCACTCTGTTAGCAGAATTGCAAGTTAAGCCGACCTTGGTTGATGAGATCAAGGCTAAGCAGCCCCTTGATAGCTCCTTGTTTCCCATCTTTGAACAAGTAGAGTAGGGGACAAATTCAGATTACGCAATTGATCGGGATGAAGTTTTATGCTTTAAAGTTCGGTATTGTGTGCCAGATGATGCTGAGTTGAGGCAGACTATCTTTATTCAGGCTCATAGTAGTCCATATGCTATGCACCCCAGTGGAGATAAGATGTATCGGAATTTGAGAGAGAGGTATCATTGGGTCGGCATGAAGAATGACATCTCGAATTTTGTGGCTAGGTGTTTGACTTGTCAGCAAGTTAGGGCAGAACATCAACATCCATCAGGTTTGTTACAACCTATCAAGATTCCGGAATAGAAATGGGAGCGTATTACTATGGATTTTGTTACTGGTTTACCTATGACTCCTTCGAAAAAAGATTCAGTTTGGGTGATTGTTGACAGACTTACAAAGTCAGCTCACTTCATTCCTGTGCGGGTAAATTGTACTTTGGACAAGCTGGCGAGATTGTATATTTCATAGATTGTCCGATTACATGGTGTTCCAGTGTCTATTATTTCTGATCGAGATCCGAGATTTACTTCAAGATTTTGGAAGGCGCTACATACGGCTTTGGGAACAAGATTGGATTATAGTACATCATTTCATCCACAAACTGATGGTCAATCTGAGAGAGTGATTCAGATACTGGAGGATATGTTGCGGGGTTGCGTAATCGATTTTCATGGTAGCTGGGAGAACTTTTTGCCTTTGGTTGAATTTGCTTACAATAACAGTTATCATACCAGCATTCGTATGGCACCTTACGAAGCACTCTATGGGCGTAAATGTCGCACTCCAATCTGTTTGACTGAGTTGCGTGATAGGAAGACGTTGGGACCTGAGTTAGTGCATGAGACGGAGGACACAGTCAGATTGATCCGTGACCGTCTCAAAGAGGCATTTGATAGGCAGAAGTCTTATACAGATCAGAGAAGGAAAGATATATAATTTGAGGTTGATGATCAGGTCTTTTTAAAAGTTTCACCCTGGAAGAAAGTATTGAGATTCGGGCGTAAGGGTAAATTGAGTCCAAGATTTATTGGACCATTTAGTATCTTGAAGAGGGTAGGACCTGTAGCATATAAGCTTGAGTTGCCTTCTGAGCTCAGTCGTATTCATGATGTCTTCCATGTATCAATGTTGAGGCGATATCATCCAGATCCAGATCACATCATTCAGGTTGAGGATGTAGAGCTGAGACCTGATTTGTCATATGAGGAGGAGCCCATTCAGATCTTAGAGAGAGATGAACGAGTTCTTCAGAATAGGCGTATTCCAATGGTCAAGGTTCAGTGGAGTAATCGAGGCCACTCAGAAGCTACTTGGGAGACATTGGAGTGAATAGAGGCTCAATTTCCTCATCTATTTTCATAAGGTAAATTTCGAGGACGAAATTTCTGGTAGAGGGAGAGAATTGTAACAACCCGGAAAAATTTAGAATAATATTAAATTGAAATTGGAGGTTAATTGTGAAAATTGGTAAATTATGAGAACTAAATTGAAAGTTTTGAAAATTTGAAGTCCATTTTAGAAGTTGAAGAAAATTCAATGACCAATCCCTGAGTTATACCTTTGAGTGTCGGCAGGTTTTTCTTTTAAAGGAAATGAATTGGTTTCTGCGTGAAAACACAAAAAACCAATTCAGAAATTCCCTTTCCCCTACACCAGTTTCCAACCTGGATTCCGACGCCGTCCGAATTCTGATCGTCGTTTTGAAACCACCGTTTTGTTCATCATCGAGCGAGGAACAAACCCTTCAAATTAATTGAAGCGAAACGCTACCAAACGCCGGGAATTTCCAGTCAAAGTCTCGACGTTTTATTTAGCTCGATCGCCGGGAAAATCTCAAATTCATCGCCGATCATTGCTCCGTTTACGACACCTCCTGCACCATCGTGTTCCTTGTGCCGTTTCGAGTCCGCCGGTGTCAACCTTGGTCTCCGTCGACGGCGGCGCATGAGGAGGTGGAGCAGTCAAAGTTTCGGCCAATTTAAAATCGAGCTCTCCGCCGTTCAAAAATTGGAACCGATCGTTGTAAGTATCTCGAAATCGCTCAAAATAATTTGTAGAAATTTTTTCGTGATTTTTAGAGCCCCGGAGGACGTCTCACGCGCCACACACGCCGCTGCAGGGAGAGTGAGCAGCTGGAAAATCGGTTTGACCGGTTTTGAACCGGTCTGAACTGATTTGACCGGTCTGAACCAGTCTGACCCGACCGACCCGACTCGACCCGACTGTTGACTCGACCCAACCCGACCGTTGACCGTTGACTTTCTTTGACCAGAACCTTAAATGGCTTTGACCGACCTTAAACGACCGTAAATATTTTCTGAGTATACCTATTCTGATAGTTTTTGACGTCCCGAATCCGTTTCCGAAGTCTGTTTCACCAAATTAGAACCCGAAGGCCTCCAAAGCGACGGTCAAAGTGGTTGACTTTGACTTTGACCAAGAATTTAAATTTTCGAAAAGACATACTTTATGTTTTTCGACGTCCTGATTCCGATTCCGCAACCCGTTTGGCCAAATTCAAACCCGAAATCCTCCAAATTTATAGTCAAACCCTGAAAATGCTTATATACTTAAGAATTTAGCTTTGAACAATTAAGTAAGATTTGAGGCTGATAAATTATTATTGTTTGAAGGTACAAGAGACTCTCCGGATCGTTCGACAGCTCGACTCAGCTCTTCTAGATCAATTAAACTATGTGTACCAGTATTCACACGTAAGACCCGTAAATTTTAGGATTTTAGAGGTTTATTTATGTTACCCAAAAGTAATATAGTGTTATTATAAAATAGGTTCGAAAACTGTAGCAGAGCGTGGTGAAACCAGCAATCAGTAGATCTACTATTTAAACATATTACCGAGGTGTGTTCCCTAATTATTACTGAACTGTTTTATTGGTTTTAATATGAGGCACACTGAGTTCTTTGGTTACTGTTTTATTGATGCACCAATTTAATGTGATGATTTATGGAATTTGTGTCACGGTGCAATTGAACTTTTTGATTGAATTACAATAGTATAGCTCTGATCAAGCTAATAAACAGAATGAGCCTAATGTGACTCTTGGGGCCCCAAGATACATTAGGTTGGCTTCCCTTACTGTGTGCTTAGGGTAAGCTATATGGACTTGGACTTACGGGCTTAAGGATATAAGCTCTAAAGCTTATCCTTAGGTTGGCTTTCTTTTTGATGTGTGCTTAGAGTAAGCTATATGGAAAATAGTTTTGGAAATTACTGATGGTGTACAAGAAAAGAGTTTAAACTATGATTTTCAAAAGTTAAACTCTTTTATGAATTTATGAGATTTACTGGACTATGATTTTTTTTAATGTACCTATTGTGATTTTAAGGTAATATTGGGACACACTGAGCCTAGCTCACCTTTCGAAAATGTTTTTCCGCCTTTCAGATACTGTTGGTTAGATACATAGGTTCGAGCACTTGGAGGATCAACATATCTCTTGAAGTATATCTGATTGTAATGTTTTATCTTGCTAGTTGACTTTATTTTGGTGACATGGGCCTTATTTTAAAGTATCGTATTTTAGGATGATGACACTTTTGCTATTACTGTTCGGTTTATTGTGATTTTGATTTTGAAGACCTGTTTTAAATTAATTTATTACTTATTGGTATTATATTTAGAAGTTGGGTTTTGATGGTATAATTTATTTCATGACATTTATAATGTGATTTTACATTGATTGAATAACGGTTTCAGAAAATATCTTTAAGAATCATAATGTAATCCACTAGACTTAGTCGAAACGTATAGGCCGGGGTCTAGAGGGTTACAGGCTCCACTTGCAGAGGACTTTCACAGTCTCCCATCAAAACTATATCTCTGCAGGATGTGGTCTCCAAGTGTTTCCTTTTTTGTGTGTGCTTTGGAGAAAGGAAGATATTATTTGCATCATTTTTAGGTCTGTGTTTCTTGCAGAATGAGGAACCATATAATGACCGATGCTTGCATCTTGTGCCAAGCACAGTCGTACCTTCACACATTAGTGTATCAACAGGGGGTGTCCCTTCCATTTTGCTAGAGGTACCAGTAAAGCGAGATGCTAAGTGCACACAACAATAAACATCCCCCTCATTTGCCCACCTCACACACTGCCTTCCTTTCGACTCTATGAATGCTATGCACTGCCGGTTTTTACTCCCAGCATCTACAAATTTCTTAGCAACCGAATCACTCACAGGTGTTAATTCCACTTCCTTAGGCTGACTGTGCAGTGTTGAGGCACTCCTGACCTCTTCACTTGCGGTTGTTGTTTCAACAACTTTGGTGTGAAAGAGCTCTGAATCCCTTTCTTCAACAACAATATTATCCCATCTGTCAGTCAAAGTGTTTGACGTGTTCATTGGTGTGGTTTCCCCCTCTCTCATCTTCCTTTTTACAAAGTTCCAGTGTTGGCAGATTGACATCCACAGCATCTTGGTTACTAAAAAAATCAGAGTCAATTTCAACAGTCATGGTTTGATCTGAATCGTTGCTTAGCACCTGGGAGGCATGTGTCTCTGCACGACGGATTTCAAGCTTGGGCCTCTTCTTGCTAACTTGTATATTTGTGTGTGAAGGACTATCGCTGTTCCGTTGATTGATAATCTCCAGCACTAGATACAGGATGAGAAGTTGAGAACCATTTCACAACTTCATGCTTCCAGGTTTTCCACTCAGAACCAAGTGTGGGTTGCACTGTTGCATCCCCAAGGGACCTGACCTCATTCCATAGTATAGCATCATACAATTCCTGAATCCAAAACAAAAAAAAATATATTACTTTTGAGCATGCAGTATGCAGTTGTTGAACAGTCCCTGACGTAAAAGTATCAAATTGACTATACACTTGCACGAACAGTCCCTGCCCTGCAAGAAAAGGAAGTTATGCAACTTATGCGCATGGCCCCTTGTATGCCTTGATTGAACATTCAGGTTACTAGTAAAACCTTTGCTTCCAAGCCCAAAGTTCAAGGGAAGAAGGTTTCTTTCCCCTTTTTTCCCTTCTTTTTGGTGAGGGTGACAATGAATGTTAGGTAATAGAAAAAACCGCTAGTGATTCATAATTCCAATCAACATATTATTTCAGTAAGCACTGATAGTAACATAAACAGGCAAACATAGAGTGAGACGTACTTCCTTTAGCAATTCAATGGATTCAGCACTATGTGCATTCTGACATTTTTGTACCCACAAGTGAACAGATTTTCGAAGCCAGTTAGCATTTATGTAGCATGGCAATATCATCTGCAGAGAAGATAAATATTATGACTTGCATTTTTAATGCAAGTAAAAGAAGGAAATGGTGGAGGATATAGAGATAGAGATATAGAGATAGAGATAGAGAGATTAGATGAAAGGTTATGGCGGAGATGCACATTGATTATGATAATGAAAGCAACATTACCCAACTAACGTCAACAACTAAGGATTTTTGACCATTTAGATCCCCTCTGGATATATTCTCATAAATGACCAACTAAAAGTCTGAATACAAATTTATAAGGTTAAAAAATAGTTGCTGCTATGAGTTCTAAATAAATTTCTATGTTAATGCATTAAATTAAATCAATTTCAGGTTAAGACTGAGGATATAACGGGGAAGAGCTTGCACTAATAATCTATATTCACAGATGTTCCTAATACCTCCCACTTTACTTTCATTTATTCACCGAGGTTATATATATGTCAAATCATCCATATCAAATTCTATCACATGGTTGGTCCACCAACTACTGCTGATAATTTTTCAGACATCTTATAAAAATGTCAAGTGCAGGATTTACACTTTGAAGTTTCAAAAGCATCTTTCCAAGATCAAAATAACCATTGCAGCGTGAAGCCTCCATAGCAAATTCCTTCCAGACAATCACATTACGTGCTGTCTCAATCAAAGCCTACACAAATAAGAATAGAATTCAGTTAAGAAGTAAGAAGAGAGCTGACAAATTGAGGAAATATATTAAATACACAAGGATTATAAAGATGAAGAAAACAATACCTCACAATGGAACTGATCAATTATATTCAGCATGGAAACAGCTAGCTTTTGCTGTATGTACCGCCGTGCAACAGTCAAATCTCTAACCATTTTTAGTCCAACGTTATGAGTCCTATATGCAATAGGCTCAGGGAACTCATTAATGGATCGAACAAGTAACATGTCTGCCCAAGAATAATTCCTGGTGTGAGGAAAAAATATCACAAAATACTGTTTTCGATCATGAGTCGGTTTTGCCTTTAAAGTCGATAACGGCCAGTCAGCCCTTGCACATCTGATTCCAAATTGCCATTTTCCTCTCCACTATACTCAGAGAAACAGAAGAGTATTACATGAAAATAAATTTAGCATGTATCTTTATCTTCTAGAAAATCGGAATTAAATGAGGGGGGAGAACGATTTAACTGGAGACCAGAAACAAGAATTTTCAAAGGAGTTTAAGAGGTAAAATGGATAAAGCATTAAGCACATGAAAAAAAAAACGTAAGGCATACTGTGGGATCACATCCTAGACAGTGGAAACAGTTGTTGTAATGCAAGTCAAAAGCATAATGGTTGAGATATGGTATTTCAGGGAAATGAAAACTAAAAGCAGAAATGCTACCTTGACCCACAATGCAACAGATTCATCGTGCTCTAACCAAGTAGGCTCCGAAAGAGACAATTCTCCCTCCCTGTTGTTGCTTGGTGACTCACTCTGGAGGGTGATAGGGGGTAAATGAGAGTTTTCAGAGGTCAAACAAGGCCCGGTGCAACAGTTCTGTGCATTTGAATCATCATATTGATCATCATGTGATCCGCAAGACAATCTTTGGCCTTCTGCCTGACAATCATAATATGAAAATACACTACGGTGTTCCTCTGAAATTGGTAATCCATTCCTTGTGCCTTGACCTTCATCCTGTCTTCCTGCTTGATTCTGTTCATTAGCTATCAATAAGTCACCCATCCGACTATCTGCCACTTGAACTTGGTTCTTTTGTTCCTAGGAATTAGATTCTCTGTCATATTTAAGAGGTGCTTCTGAAATCGGTTGAACACAATCAGAATCCGCAGCATACTGAATACCAGAACGGGGGAGCACTTCCATGATTCAAACTAGAATATCTACAGAAGTATTATGTGCATATGAACATTGAATATCCCCCAAATTCACTTTCCTGTCCAAACAAAGCCATGTAAAGCAAGAGTGATGCAGAAAAAGAAAATTTGTCAAGTATATATTACTGAAACATATATATGTATGTTCATATGATATAGTCCATGTAGGATTGAAAGAAAGACCAAAGATACAAATTCCACTAGAACATGAACATGTAAAATGCACATAAATGTATGCATAAACGTGCTTTATGCAATTTAAACAAGAAACTAGGATCCTGCAGTAGGCTAGACACAAGGTGGAAGTCTCATTTTCACCACTTAAAATTTTATAAGTATGCCCCTCCAAAGATTTTATAAGTTTTCCCCGTAACATAATATCTTCCATCTGTCCCTAATTAGGGTCCAATGACCAGCTTTATCCGGTCACAATCACTGTCATTATTTACGTGAGTACAAAATTCAGAGTCAAATTTTACTTGATCCATGCAAAATTTTAATCACATTTCAAGAACAAACTTGCACTCTCTATCATCATCAATCATGCCAAATTTAAATAGCAGTTCTCAAAGGAAAAATACAGCATGGCCAACTAGACCCAGATCTTAAAATGCATGTCAAAAACTAAAATTTCCAAGAAAAAAAAAACCAAACAAACAAGACCCAGAAACATAAATGCCACAAAACCCTAACATAATCAGCAAATTTCATCATTCGTTAATTTGGTAGTCCATAATAATAAAAAATAATAGCCCCAAAAGAAAGGGAAGGTGGGAACTTCTTTTCTTTTTGATTAGATTCACATTATATAAGAAAGCCCGAAGGCCTAGATATATCATCAAAATGGCGACAACATGATCGGTGTGCCCAAATTGCAGATGATACAAATAAATACATACATAGAAATATGCATATGACCCCCACCCAAATCATAAAACATGTGTCTAAGAACATAAGAACAAATAATATCCTGAATAATGGGCTAAAATTTCAAGGAAAGGGAAGGATTCATTAGTTGTAAGATAATGGGTATTGTTTTTCAAGGGATAGGGGAGGTTAGGTAAGTAAAGAATATTAATATTTAGGGCATAGAAGCAGGAAACAAAGAGCAGCTACTAGATCACAGAAGATGAGAGAAATTGACTGTAAAATGTGACATACATAAACCCAACTTAATTCACAGAGAAGATAAGGTTGGTACTGGCTATGGCTAATGTGTGTTTACCTTGTGTATGTAAAAGGATGTTAATGGACGATCACCCAATATTCATTTTTTCCATGGTTGTTGGTTTATTTGTCAGGCTAATGGGATTGAAGAAAAGGGTTTCGTTCTTTTGGGGGGATCGGGACTCATTGGGCGTGTTTTGAGGATGGGGGTTATATATAATTATTGATACATGTGGTTCGTGAGTCTTGTGTTGGGCATTGTCCCCGTGGCCAAATTTGAAAACAACAAAGCCAAGGAATCCAAAAGACAAAAAACAAAGTGCCAGCAACTCAAAGGACTGGTTAGCAAATAATAAGACCCTTATCTTACCTAAACTGAAACAGATTTGGTGCTCAGTCTGTAATTTGGTAATACAATGAGGGTCAAATTGTAAAGAACAAGACTTGGTAGGAAATTGATTCAATGGTATGAAGATTGTGGGTATTGGGTTGAAAGGAAGGAGTAGATTGCGATAAATAGGTAAAGATGATGAGACAGAGATGGAGAAAGATTATCAGATTTGGCTTTCTAATATGCGAAATTGGGGTGTGTCAGTGTGTGCCTCTTACTATGTTAAGTTTTTGCAAAAAAGAGGGCACATCTCATCGTTCACGATTCTACCCACATTTTTCCAAAGGGTAAAAGTATCGTGCAAGTCCTTCTCTATACCACCAATTGCATTTTGGTTTCCTACTTTTAAAAATCGAATAAAATAATTCATCTTACTTTAATATGTAAAAAAATGAAGGAAATTAAAGTAGGATAAGTGAAAATATAGAGACAAATTGAATAGGGGCAAATCAAGTGTGATGCTAATATTTTGGACGAAGAAAAGAAATAATCCTAAATAATTACCAACAATAGTGATATTCCCAATTTAGTTTGAAAATCAAAGCATAACATTGGATAGGGTTGAGTCATACAATTGAAAATTCATGCATTTAGAAAGCAATGAATGAAGTATTCTACTTTTTATAATCATCAACATAAAGCCGTTATGCAAAATGCATCCAAATCAGACTTTTTTACACAATATTTGCATGTGGAGCAACAAATTCTTTGCAGCTACACCAAAAAGGGGGTGATGAAAATATCAGGCAAATGTATAATCAAAGATGCATGAAATTATAGTTTATGGGTCATGCTAATCTTATCTGCATCCTTCCAATTTTATCGGGAAACTCTAATCTTGCTTTTCTTCAATACTTAAACCTAGTCTTAAGCATGATGACCTGAGAATGTGGGATCTTAGGCTTTCAACTGACAACCATGCTCTTGAACTTAAGGAAGTTGAGGAGTCATCTCTGTGAGTAGGGAAATCTCTTTCTATTGAATTTCAAGGCCTGTTAAAACAATCTTTTGGGTCTTAAACATCAGCACAAATAAGGAAACAACATAAATATTTAAGACATAAATGAACCCAAAGTTATGACACATACATTATTATTAAGAGAGTAAATTTCGATCCGAAAAGTTTGATAGTTTGATTTTTTTTTATTTTGAGATATTCGAGTTAATTTGAATTATTAGTCGATTTTTTAGTTTGATTCGAGTTGGAATTTGAAAATTTTGAGTCAACTAATAAACTAAAAGTTTAGTTTGAGTATTTTGACAGTTTTATGATTTGATTTATATTTTTGTTATTCTTTCGACTATTCATTCATTTTAAGTTCATTTTTACCAAATTTGAACCATGTACTCCTAAATTATTGTAGAATGCCTATGTATCTTCAATTCCTCTTTTTGATAACAAATTTTATATTTTTTCAATATAGTCCCTCAACTTTGCACAATTTTCTTATCTCTTCAATTCATCCTTCATACCTAATGTAACTTCAATTCCTTTTTTTGATCAAATTTGAATCACATGTCCTTTTGCCACTATATAATACCTATGTAACTTCAAACCCTATTACTAACTACAAAATTACTCTTTTTAATTTAATCCCTTAACTTTTTGTTTTAATCAATTTGGTCTTTCGATAATAACTTTTTACAAATTCTTTCTTTCCATTAATTTTTTTGACTCCTTTATACTCCCATCAATACTTTATCCTCAAGATAATTTCTTCAAAAATAATATTATAAATATATTTTACAATTTTAGATTGTATTTGATTTATTAAATAATATTAAATTGTGAAGAAACATTTTTGTTTGAAACTACTAAACACTAATATGGGTATTCCTTGTTCGTCAATTCTAGTTCCAAATAACTATGGAATAGAATAGATTCTTACTATGAATTTTGCACGTATGATAGAGAATTCAACCGAATTTATTGATCATTACATAGAATTCAATTAAGATATTATATGAAAGTATGATTTCTTCTATTCTCTAAGAATTGAAGGTTTTTTGATTGGGCGAGTTTTAAAGAACTATTGTTTAGTCTGCCTTATTTTTTCCTTTATTCATTTCCTTATATCATATCAAAAAACATATTAATAACTCAATCAATCAAAATTATCTCCAAGAACAAAATATTGTTATGCTTAATATCTTTAATTTAACGAAAAATTAGAACCAATATATATATATATATATATATATATATATATATATATATATATATATATATATATATATATATATATATATATATTATAATCATAAATAATTACAATTAAATTTGTTTAGAAAGTCAAACAATTCAACTCAATTCATGGATTGTATTTCTATGATTTGGTACAACCAAAGCACATTAATTTTATTAGCCTATTGAAAGTTGAAACAAGCAATGTAAAAGCAAAATTATTTATGTTTTTCAATGTAACATCATTTATCATATATGTTTCTGTACACAAGTTACATGTGTCACATGACTTTTAAAACATTCCTTATTTGTAAACCCATAAAATTTTGTTTATAAAAAATATTTTAATATAATAATAATAATAAAACATTTGTTAATTTTCAGTAGTTAAAATAATCTTAAATTTATAACATATTACAAATATTATAAGTCA